CCTCTCTCTTCTCTCCTCTCTCCCCTCTCTCTCTCCTCTCTCCCCTCTTCTCTCGCCCAAGTCTTCCGGCTTCATCCATCATCAGGACAAGGGACATTTCTCAGCCTGTTGTGCTGCAGAGGCTGGAGCAGTGATGATGGATGTGTTCTCAGAGAAACAACGGAAACAGGAGAGAGGAGAGAGAGGAGAGGGGAGGGAGAGGAGATAGAGGAGAGAGAGGAGAGGGGGGAGAGGGAGGAAAGAGGGGAGAGAGGGGAGGGGGGAGAGAGAGGGCAGAGAGACGGAAGAGGGGAGAGAAAGGAGTGAGGATAGCAAGAGGGGAGAGATAGGGGAAAGAGGAGAGAGGGGAGAAAGCAGTGGAGAGAACAACACAAATCTGTCTAAAAGCAGGACTAAAGCAGGTGACGTTTTTCAGCAGTAGTGTCTGATATTGTTGTGGATGGTGCTTACGCTTGTAATGGGATTAATTAAAAGCTCAAAAACATTGAGTCAGATTTATTCGTGGGGCGCAGTGTTTTCTGAGTCTTTATGGTTGTTCCACTTGAAGCAGAGTGACCTTAAAACTAGTTCAAGCTCAGACACTTGACCGTGGAGAGAAATCGTGCAATAATAAGATATAGATTGATTTGAGAGTCTGAAGGCTGTGAAAACATGTTTTTCTACAAAACGGATGAAAACAGACTGGTTAAAACCTCTGTGGAGAGGAAAAAAACAGGTCTAAAAACGGCTTTAGGCTGGCACGGTTCAGAGACAAGTGGAGAGAGGCGGGCCTGGGCACGGTTCTATAGCCCAGATGAGGGGGGTCGATGGTAGAGACGGGAAAGTGTGCTTCCTCACGTATCTTGCACACGTCTCTTATCTGCAATCGCACACTTTGGCGTTCTGAGTTATTCAGGAGTCACACTTTTTTTTGAAGCCGGAACACACCAACACACACTTGTATCCAGCTCCGGTCGCTCTGCTCTTACACCACACTTTCCATTCTTTTATTCTCATTCATTAATTTCTCAGGCTCACGCCATTTACTCGAATGCACGCGCCTGTACACACACACAAACACGCACACACACACACCCACTAAGCTGCAGTACATTGAAGAAAGACACATCTCACACCTGAGTATACAGGAAGAGATATGGAAACTTAACCCGAACCCTGAGTATTAGCGCCACCAGCTGGGCTGAGTGTTGTACTGCACTGCATTCGGGCTGACATGGTTGAAAAAAAAACCTCTTCTGACCATGGGCCGTCTTCACACCTCTGTGGCGAGGATCCGGGCCACTTGGTCTAGTTTTTTTGTGAACTGTCATTTTACTGAGTCCCTGTGTCCCATTGCCTCATGCTGCTAATGTACAGTCGTAAACATACTGCTGCTATTGTACAGATGTAAACATACTGCTGCTAATGTACAGATACTAACATATAACTACACATTGCTTGTACTGAATTCTTGGGTTTCATATGGCGTCAGGGCAATGGCGCGAATAACAAGCGTGGGACAGGACGTGACGTATTCTGGCGGTGCAGTCTGCCGGGTTTATACACAGAGCTATAGTAGAAGAAGAAGCGCTGTCAAAATGCCATCTTTTTTTGCGGTGTACGCTTGTAGCAACCGCACAAATAAAGAGAAAGACAAGAGTTTCTTCCGTGTTCCAACTGTGGTCTCATATAAAGGAGTGCACTTTGAAAAAATCACTCGAATGAAGCAGGCGAGGTGGATCAAGGCTTTCCCAGATAAGCGCCCCCTGCAGGCCACCCGAATGAAACGCAGCAATTTCTTGTTTTTCTTTCCAAAAATGCCCGAAATCAAGACTCTTTTGAGAAATATTTTTAGTACGCCTATTAGTGCTGTAATTTACAGTCAATCCTGACAAAATCACAAACACAAAAGACATAGTTCGGCATTTTTGATACTTGGTTGCCTTTTCCAAGGAGAAGGGATCTTCGAAGCAGAGACACGGCAGAGAGGGCTCTGTCTGCTTCCAAAACCAGATCTCACACAAAAAGCACATTTGTTCATACATTTCACAATCCAAACATTAGGTGAAGGGCAATTCTAAACCAAGAAATTCATGAAACAGTTTAAAAGTTTCAGAGTGACATTTAAAACAAGACTTTACCCAAAAGTTTTAAATCTCACTGAAGATTTAAATTTGATTTTCTAGTTAGTGAGTTTGTTTTGTCAGTTTGAGCTTAACAGACGAATACTTAAACACAAAGAACACATGGACAAAGGAAGGAACAAAGAAGGACAAAGACAAACAAAGAAAACGCATGACCAAGGCACCACATGGCCACAAAATGGCCGCCCAACACAAAGCTTACACATTTTTTACTTTATGGGGTCTTTTTACATTGTCCAATTCCAAATGTTGAGTATTTAAAGGTCTTTCAACGTCCAATTTCACTTTAGCTTATTGAGATATCTTTAAATGTCCAATTTCAGTGCATATGTCCAGAGTAATTCAATTCTAACACATTCTTTCGTAACTCAAGCATAAAATGACTATCTAAGACCATTTTACAGTTAAATTAATACAGATGTAACTCTATGTTATCCTTCTGAATGAAACCCTGTTTCATTCGAGCTCTATATAAACCCCCACACTAAGGCATAACTCTGTGTTTTCCTAAATGAATGTGTTCATGTGAACTTCATGTGAACTTCACACTACTTCCTGAATTACTCCTGGACATAATTTAGAGTGTATAGAACTTTCCTTTGTTGCAATTTCATCAGAAAAAAACTGTAGTTATCCCGTCAACTCCGATCCGGAGGCTGGTCCTGCCTCAATGCAGTTCTGAATGAAGAAGGCCTCACCGCTGCGCTGAACTCCATGTTTGAGGCATTCTCAGCTCCGCAGAGAAGTAGGTTGGGATCCGGCTCGAAGGACCAACTGTTAGTGCTGACTGTAAATTACAGCACTAACGACTCGACCCTTGTTTTTTATGCTAGAGTTAGAGATTTTGTTCTATTTTATTTCGTATAGTTTTTGTTCACTTACTGTATCTTGGGATGTGTGCTCCTCATTCTTACTGTTCTGTAACATAAAGGCTCTATCTTAAAGCAGGGCTAAAGCAGGAACAAACTAGAGACTGAAGAAGAGCCTGAAGCAGGACTAAAGCATCTCCAGGTGTTTTTAGATGTTGTTTTATTGCTTGAGGAGAGAGACTTCCTTGTTCTTCTCTCTGTGGTTTACCCGACAACGTTCTCCTCCTCGGGTACCAGCGTGCAGTCTCCGTCTTTGTTCGAACTGTTGACAAAAGCATGAATTAAGTCTAAGTGGCTCTATTCTTCCATGCTACAAAAGAAGGCGTTTGTTGCTCTTTCAAAAACACATTTACCACAAAGTGATTTTGAGAGAAAAACTCCAGAGGAAATTGGAATAAAAATAAATAAATAAAAAGATTCATTGGGAAAAAAAGCTGAGATAAAAAAAACAAAAAACAAATACTTTACTTTTATTTTTGAGAAAATCTTATCTACATGATCTGGGTGATGACACTCTCTGACCGAAGCAGAGACCAAATCAGAATCATAAAAAGCAGGAGAATCGCTCTAAAGCAGGTCTAAAGCAGAGAATATAGCAGGTCTAAAGCAGGTCTAAAGCAGGTCTAAAGCAGGTCTAAAGCAGAGAATAAAGCAGGTCTAAAGCAGGTCTAAAGCAGGTCTAAAGCAGGTCTTCAGCAGGTCTAAAGCAGGTCTAAAGCAGGTCTAAAGCAGGTCTAAAGCAGAGACTGAAGCAGAGACTAAAGTAGGACTAAAGTAGAGATGAACGTGTTTAAGAATAGTTACTTTATTGTTACGGTTTTGGGAAAGGTTTTTGCCAAAGTTTGAAAACGAAGTGTGTTTTGTCGCTGATTGTGAGTCGTTTTCAGAATTGTTGTCATTAGAGTTTCAGCGAGTTTACAAAAACACAAAAACACGAGGCACAAATACAAAAACAAAAATAATGATCTCTTGTTTTTTTATGGTTGGAGATCTGTGCAGCCGCAGAGACAAACACTGAGGAAGGTGGAGCTGTACAAGAGCAAAGATCCCCATTCCATTTCCCCAAGGAGCTTAGAAATATAAAAATACATAAGAGTTTGAAGAGTGTTAAAACTGGTTCAAACTACAGTTTCTCCTGGACAAAACCACACAAATCAGACTAGGATGAATAAATACTCCACTTGACGAGCGCCGGCATGGTCACGGCACATCTCTGATTTTAGGTGCTGTGACCGTGCGTGCACTGGACTCCATTGGGTTACAGGCCTATTTATTTAGACCAAAGTAACACACCTCCATCATGGTCACATTATTGTCACTCCAAAGATTCCATATGGTCTAAACCATTAGTTTGTTGACACAGTTCAAACATTTTAGCCCAAAAAGGTTTCCAGTCTTTTCACACGCTGACAACCCAAAAATTGCACTTTAGCAACGTCACTTCACAACCCAAACCTAGTGACATATGGACATCCATGAACAACGACAGTGGCTCAGTTGGTAAAGGATAGGCCTTTGAGCCTGAAGGTTGTGGGTTCGAGCCCACCATGAGACCTTCTCCACCGACTCCCACAGGGGTCTGCTGTGATTGTGTCCTTGGGCAAGACACTTAAGGATTTTAAGAATAGAGAAAATGGAGACTGGAGAAAGCCTAGAGAAATATTAGACCAAAGAGAAACCAAAGAGACCAGAGAAAGAGTGAGCAGAAACCAGAGAGAGATACAAGGGAGAGAGAGACTAGAGAGAACAAAGAGAGACCAGAGAGAGACCAGAGACTTCAATGAAAGTCAATTGGAGCCAGTGAGTTGGAGCTACACATGGTCTGTGAGCACTTCTTTATTAGGCTTCAATGAGTTGTCGGATTAGCATTGTCCGTCTGTTTACAGTCTGTGGTGATCAACAGCTGATGTTTGCCTCCAGAGGGGGCGCTCTAGCACACTGCTGCAGGGTTTAAAGCTCTTGTCAAAAGTCGTATTATTCTCATTCTTCTTCTGTTCTTGTGTTAAAGAGACCCGAACCAGCCCGTGCCGCAGGACACCAAGTTCATCCACACCAAACCCAACCGCTTTGAGGAGGTGGCCTGGACTAAGTACAACCCCAAAGACCAGCTGTACCTGCACATCGGTCTGAAGCCCCGCGTCCGCGACCACTACCGTGCCACCAAGGTCGCCTTCTGGCTGGAGCTGGTGCCGCATCTACATAACATCAACGAGTTCTTCCAATACGTCTCCACCACCACCAAGATCCCGCCACAGGAGACCACGCCATACTCCTCCTACACCAAGAGGTTCTCTGGGAAGAACCCTTGGCCCTCCACCACCAGACACCCTGGCATACCATCTGCAAACACCAAGCAGGATCAGCGACCGAGCGCAGAGGAGGAGACCAGCGACGAGGCGGAGATGTACATTGTGAGGAAGAGTGACTACTCCACAGAGCTGAGCGTGACGGTCGCAGTCGGGGCCTCCCTCCTCTTCTTAAACGTGCTAGCGTTCGCCGCGTTGTACTACAAGAAAGACAAGCAGAGGCACGAGACCAACAGGCGGGCTCCCACTCCGCTAACTAACCCCACTAGCAACCCTGCGCAGCTACAGCTAGCCACCACCACCACTACTTCTTCTAACGACGTGGCGCACCTGCCGAGCGACGAGCTAATGTCACTGCAGGTGAAGCAGATGGAGCAGCGTCTGGAGCTGGAGCAGCGGCTGGAGTGCGAGTCCCTGCAGAGCCACGACGCGCTGAGGCTAGCGCGCCCACCGGACTACACGCTAACGCTGCGCCGCTCGCCAGACGACGTGCCACTAATGACGCCAAGCACCATCACCATGATCCCGAACTCGCTAGCTAGCATCCAGCCGCTGCACAACTTCAACACGTTCGGAGGGAGCCAGAACAGTAGCAACCTGCCGCACGGACACTCCACCACGCGGGTATAGCTTTGGTTTAGATCTGTTCGGGAAATTTTGGGGAAAAAAATTATAAAAAGGCTAAAGACATTGCCTTCTTTTTGAATGTTTCTGTGAATGGAAATCTAAATGCACTACGGAGATAAGGGATTCTAGAAGACTTAAAACGACTTAGAATCAAGATTTGGGTTCACTTGATTTTTTTTGGGCTATAACAAGTTATTAAAATGAAATACTAACAGTTTAAAGCTGGGGTACATAAACTTTAAATCAAATGTAACAAATACACGAAAAGCACTAGGATTTGTGTTTAAATCAGTAATGATCAGCTCTCAGAAGATTAGATAATTTCAACCAAAGACAATCTGAGTATTGCCTTTTATTGATTTGTTTTGTTGTTAGATGATGGAAAGTGCAATATTAATACATTTTATTAGTGTTAATATTATTATTAATAACTGGCTACATCAAATGCAACAAGTTCCTTACTGGAAGATTAAGATTACTATTCATATCAATGATTTGTTTCAGAATAACTAAATAACTGAATCTACTAAGAAGAAGAAGACAAAATAACCTTCTCAAACCTGTTGAATTCATAATGATCAGATATTAGAAGATTAGATCAATCTGTTCTGATTTGATCTGCAGATTTATTTGTATTCTGTGGAAGTTTGAGGTTTCTGTAAATGGAAAGTGTAACATTAATAACATGTTTCGTTTCTCATTCTATTTTTATTTTAATTAATTTACCTTCAATTTACAACAACTGACAAACCTAAATGTAACATAAATTAATAGCATTATTATTTCTATTTAAATGAATGTACTTATTTGAAATATCTGTAAAACTCTGGGGTAAACTCCTGGTCTCATAAATTAATTCCAGCTCAAAAAAGCAATTTTTTCAGAAATATATAAGATTTGAGATGAACCTTCTCAATCTATTCAGATGTATAATGATCAGATATAAGAATAATTTCAACCAGAGACAAATTTAGAATGTGTTTGCTTTTAATTACTATTATTGTTGATGTTGGTTAAATGTATAATCTGAAGATTTTACATTAATATATAGAATTTATGGGAAATTGCTAAATGAATAATTTGATCATAATCATCATTATTACTATTATTACTATCAATATCATAAATATTATGATGATACATTTTAATAATGTTTAATTTTGGATGACTGGCATCAGTCTCATCAATTTCTTGTAAGAAGTTGGCAATACTTTAAGGCTTTGAGGTCTCATAAATTAATTCCAGCCACAAAAATTAAATAAATGTTTTGGTTTAAGATTTTCAGACCATGAACGAATCAAGAGGACTTCAAGTCGTTTTAAGTCTGACAGATGTTGGATTTTCAGAGTTTGTGCCGATACGAAGACAGAAGTGGACTATTTTTAAAAGCTTTTTGACATCCATATAAAACTATAAAAACTGTTCTTTAAGGGAAAATGGAAGCAACCACGTCTTGGACCCATTTCCATGACGACAGGACGGACTGAAAATGTATTTATAAAGATTATCCTTTTAACACTTTGGAATAAGGTGCTAATAAACTGGTTTATTAGCAAAACGGTTCTCGCACAATACTACTGTTCATATCTGTACATTAATTTGACTTGATTGAAAATTCCTGTGTGTAAATCATTACACTAGCTGTAATTTAAAGTTTTTAATTATCCAAAAATGTGATCCATTTTATTTAATTATTTATCTGTATTCATTGTTGGTCATTGGAAATACGTTTTATCATGTTACATGATATACATGATTCATGTACAATATGTGTCTATGTTCACAGTGGTCTCTCACTATAACATGGTTCACCTTTCTCTGTTCTCTCCTTCTGTTCTCTCCCTCTGTTCTCTCTCTCTCTGGTCTCTCTGATTTCTCTCTGGTCTCTCTCTCTCTGGTCTGTCTCTGGTCTAAAGTGTGTGTTGAGGGGTTTTACAGCCTTCAAACATACAGCTGCTATTTCAATTTCACCTAATGCAGATTGTTTTGAGAACACATCACCCCTGCTCTGAACCTGGGACCACTGTAAACCGTTTTTATTTTAATTATAAACATTTGTCAAAAAGAACAGGGCTTAGTGGACAACCCTGACCAGTGCTTGAGCAATATTGTCACGCAAAACCTGTTTTAATTTTATACATTTTTTAATACTTAATCCACTGTTTGCTTTTGAACGAGTTTATTACTGCACCTTTGTTGCCGAGCGTTACCAACATTTGTACAAAAATCTGTGTTTAAAGCGATATACAAAAGATATATGAAATACTTTGATCTATTTTGAACCAGTGTAAATACCGACACCATTTCTGTTTGTTGTTATAATTGTAATTTTTTATTTTTTTATTTATTTGCCCGGTTCATTTTTGGAGTCTGCAGACGACGCATGTCCAGCTTCAACCAAAACATAGAGAAGAATTTATTATTCAGTGTTGCTTTAAAAATGTAAAAAACTTGACTAAACTAAACTTTTATTATGTTCAAGGCTTAGAAGGTTTTTATTAAGACAAAAACAGTAATTAAGCAATTACTGCTCAGTGAACATTAGCCAGCCGGAGCCATCGGGTTTTTCTTCTGCTACGTTAGCTTAGGGGCAGACGTGTTGCTATGTGGTTGCTAAGGCAAGCAGAGTTTCCCCTGCAAGGCATCTGATTGGTCAATCCTTATAAGGCTCATATCTGGATATCTGTTTACTGAGCTCTAGGAGATTATTTTTTACATGTAAGTCAATAAAGAGCAACTTGGAGCAATAATTTGTCCATGAGCAAAAGTCCCTATTGAGCTTTATTGAGCTAGCGGTTTATCTATGTCCATCTCTATAAAGTTTATGGTAAATACACCAGGATTCTTCTTCTTCTTCTTCAACAATAAAAGATAGATAGAGACTTTATTGATCCCCGTAGGAGAAATTCAGGTGTCCAGCAGCAGAAGACTCATCCGAAGGAACAAAGGATCTCTTGAAACGTTCCGTTCGGCAGCGCAGTGATATAAGCCTGTTGCTACAATTTCTCCTCTGAGCGGCCATAGTGTCATGCAGAGGGTGTCTGGAGTTACCCAGGATGCCCTGCATTAGAGCCCTCATCCTTCTCTCCACACTTCTCCTCATCACAGAGACACATATCCTGATCTGCCTGTCGAGGCGGTTACTGTCTCTCGAGGTCAGACTGCCGCCCCAACACGCAACCCTGAAGAACACGACACTAGCTACCACAGACTGGTAACGTATGTGCAACATCTGACTGCTCACATTGAAGGACCTTAGTCTTCTCAAGAGGAAAAGTCTGCTTTGAACTTTTCCTTTAGACAGCATTGGCCTGAGCTGACCAGTCCAGTCTGTGGTCCAGGTGGACTCCCAGGTATAGGGAGTATCCAGGTGTAGGACTGAACTGATGAATTGTGTAATTTGTGGGGAAAAACAAAGGTATAGATAGATAGATAAATAGATAGACAGTCAATAAATGTATATTTATCTATCATTTTCCATAGACTAAGGCAGAGACTAAAAGCCCAGGAATCAGACTCGGATGTATCTGACTCAGCAGTACTACCTTCATAAAAGAACCTTCTAAGCTTTAGTTTTGCTTTTATTTGTAAAGGTCTGTTTCCTGTCTTGTCCACACTGCCTCTGCGACCACACGACCAGCAACTGTATGTGTTTCATTTTGATAATCAGGCAGTGGTAATTTTGCTTTCAGAGGAAATTAATAATTATTAATTTGTCTCTCTCTGGTCTTTCTCTTTGATCTACAGCCTTTCTCTGGTCACTCTTTCCACTCGCTCTCTCTGGTCTCTATCTGCTCTCTCACTGGTCTTTCTCTCTAATCTCATTTGATTTTTTTTTACCATTTTGAAAATGCAGGCAGTGATTCCTTTTGCTTTCTGCAAAATTAATAATTATTAATTTGTAAAAAAAAAAAACATATTTGTTAAATATTTGAAGGTGTCATATAGCGACTGTGTACAGTGACGTTCCGGGTTTTTGGATTTCAAACGCAAGTGTGAATGAATGTACATACTATTATATTGAATTGATTATTATTATGATTATGATTATGATTATTATTATTGACTATAGATGAACCATTTTGCATCCTATTCTAAAAGAGCAATTAAACGGAAAAGAGGTTTTAAAACAGATTTGTAAATTACATGTAAAGATCTATTCTTCAGGATTCAAAGTCCTCGTCTTATATTCGTTGCAGGTTTTGCCTTAAGCTGGATTCATGCTCACACTTTTCTGCAACGTTTTTAATAAATAAAAAAATCACAATATTTTTTACAAAAATATGGATTTTGTGGTTTTTTTTAGCAGTTTCTAGTTTTTCCTTCTACCTACCCCACCCTACCTTACTCTACTTTACCCTGCTCTATGCTACTCTACCCTACTGTACTCAGCTCTGCTCAACTCTACTTTACCCTACCCTACCACCATTTTCTAGAAAACTACCCCCAACGAACCAGTATCCAGGAAAAATCCTTAGAAACCAAGGCTTCCAGCAGTACTCTGGCCAATCACTGTCAATTAGAAAACTTTTGCACCAGCTCGGCCTGGATAGAATCAGGACCAGAGAAGGACCTGGTACTGGTGAAACCGGGTTAGTAGACACACTCCCAATCAGGGGAGAGTAGAGTAGATTTGAGTGTAAACCTGCTATCCCGCATATCCAGCAGCTACGGTAAGGTGCTAGTGTAAGCTACTCGTTTTCTCTTCATTTTGCTAATTACCAAAGTATAGTGTGGGGATTATGACTGCAGCTGTAGATCCAGGACTGAGGCTGTAGATCCAGAACTGAGGCTGTAGATCCAGGACTGAGGCTGTAGATCCAGGACTGAGACTGTAGATCCAGAACTGAGGCTGTAGATCCAGGACTGAGGCTGTAGATCCAGGACTGAGACTGTAGATCCAGGACTGAGGCTGTAGATCCAAGACTGAGGCTGTAGATCCAAGACTGAGGCTGTAGATCCAAGACTGAGGCTGTAGACTCAGGACTGAGGCTGTAGATCTA